ACGGGCCGGCCCCCATGTTTGTTTGTTTTTTTAAAAAGATGACCGGTAAGGGGATCTCAACCCTTGGCTTGGTGTTGTCAGCACCACGCTCAGCCAGTGAGCAAACCGGCCATCCCTATATAGGATCCGAACCCGCGGCCTTGGTGTTAGCAGCACCGCACTCTACCGAGTGAGCCACGGGCCGGCCCCCATGTTTGTTTGTTTTTTTAAAAAGATGACCGGTAAGGGGATCTCAACCCTTGGCTTGGTGTTGTCAGCACCACGCTCAGCCAGTGAGCAAACCGGCCATCCCTATATAGGATCCGAACCCGCGGCCTTGGTGTTATCAGCACCGCACTCTACCGAGTGAGCCACGGGCCGGCCCCCATGTTTGTTTGTTTTTTTAAAAAGATGACCGGTAAGGGGATCTCAACCCTTGGCTTGGTGTTGTCAGCACCACGCTCAGCCAGTGAGCAAACCGGCCATCCCTATATAGGATCCGAACCCGCGGCCTTGGTGTTATCAGCACCGCACTCTACCGAGTGAGCCACGGGCCGGCCCTGAAAGTTATATTTTTTAAATAACTTTAAAAATATTCAAGTAATACCTGTCCATCACAGAAAATAAATCCCACCACACAAAGATATACTAAAATTATAGCAGTGATCATGTCCTATTTTTTCCCCAAACATATATACCTATACATATTATAGGCTGAGTATCCCTTATCCGGAATATTTGGGACCAGAAGTTTTTTTTCAGATTTTGGAATATTTGCAGAATACATACCCATTGAGCATCCCTGATCCAAAAATCCAAAATCCAAAATGCTCCAATGATAATTTCCTTTGAGCATCATATTGGCACTCAAAAGGTTTCAGATTGTGGAGCATTTCAGATTTTGGATTTTCAGAATAGGACTGCTCAACCTATAAATATATTTATAGAAACATGCTGTCTATAAAAACTATTTTGTAATCTTTGTTCATGTCACTTTTATTCTTTAACATCTTTTTCAATGGCTGCACAGGATTTAACTGCATGTCTATATCAAAGTACATTTAAAGAATTCCCTATTGGGCTGGCTGGTTAGCTCAGTTGGTTAAAGTGTGGTGCTGTTAACACCAAGGTCCAAGGTTCAATCCCTGTACTGGCGAGCCACCACAAAAAAAAAAAACCAGGTTAAATAACCCCCTATTGCTGAATATTCAGATTGATTCCTATTTTTTATTTTAGAAACAACTGTGGAATGAACATCTCTGTTGATATCTTAAATACAGTTAATACACATTTCCAAATTTCTGTCCAGAAAAAAATGTAACAATATACACTGTCCCCAAGAGTGATGAAAATATATCTCTACTTATGCTTGTTAAACTGTTACCTTTTATTAAAAACTTAGGTTCCATCAATTTGATAGGTAAAAAATAGTATCTTATTATGTGCTCTCTGATTACTAACAAGATTCAACATCATTTCAGACATTAACTGGCACTGTATTTTCATTCTGTAAAAACTAGCACTTCCACTATTCCAGTGAAAAAACAGCAGTCTCCAGGAATCTTAATGAGATGTGATACAAAGTATGAAAAAAACATGATTAAACCATAACACAAGCAAGCAGCAATTGAAAACACCAGAGAAACAAACAAATGCCATAATCCTACCACTCTATTTGGCCTTTCAGATTATGATATTCATTCAACAAATATCTACTTAGAGATAACTGAGATATTTAAACTGTTCCAGAAATTTGGAAAATACATCCGTGAAGAACACAGAGAAAAATCTCTCTTATATAAGAGCTTATATACAAGTGAGGGGAAGACAGAAAACAAGTAAAATAAGTAAATGGTGTGTAGTAGAATAGGTTATAAGCACTATGAGAAAGAAAAAAGTAGAGCAGGATAAGGAGGGACTGGGAATGTGTGTTGGAGGGAGTGGGTAAGATTGCAATTTTAAATAGGGTGGGACGCAGAGCAGGCTTCATTGAGAAAGTTACAGTTGAACATAGTCTTCCAAGGGCTGGCTGGTTAGCTCAGCTGGTTAGAGTGCAGCCTTATAACAGCAAGGACATGGGTTCAGATCCCCATACCGGCCAGCTGCCAAAACAAAAGTATAGACTTCAAGTGTAAGGAAGTAAGGGAAAGTGTCTCTCTGGGAAAGAGCTCACTGGCAGAAGGAACTGCCAATGCAAATGCCCCTAACACAGGAACATATGTGATGAGTTCAAGGAAGTCAGGGTGCCTAAGATACAGCAAGCAAGGCAGAAAGAGTGGTAAGAGATGAAATTAGAGATATAGGATCTTATCAGTCATTGTAAACATTTTGGCTCTTTCTGTGAGTGAAATAATGAGGAGTCACTGTAAGAACTTTAACAAAATAGTAAAATGACCTAAATTTTACAAAGATCATTCTGGCAACTGTATTGAGAGAAGAGATTTTAGTGAAGAAGGCAGGAGGCAGGGAAACCAATTAAGAGGCTGTTAGTATAATCAAGGCAAGAGATATGCAGCTTAGATTAGGGGCAAATCAGTGGAGCTGGTGAGAAATTGTCTGAATCTGGGTATGTTTTGAAAATAGAGCCACTGTTAATTCCTGATCCATTGGAAATAGGATGTAACAGAAAGAAATGAGTTTTAGCTTGAGCAACCAGAAAGATAAAGTGGCCATTAATTGAGCTGGGGAAGGCTGAGGGTGGAGGGTTTTTGTTTGTTTTCTGTTTCATAAAGGGGATTTCAGGAGTTCAGTTTTAGACATGTTGATTTTGAAATGTCAGATAACTATGGAGATGTCAAGTAGACGGTTGGACATGGAAGACTGGCAGAATGGTCTAACTTCAGACATAAATTTGAGAATTATCAATATATAGATAGCCAGAAGAATGGATGAGAACACCACCAAGGGAGTGAAAGTTGAAAAGAACAGATACGACAACTAAGGACTGAGAGGTAGGATATTCTGAAACAGACAGAATAGAAACACTTTAGTGATTTAACTAAAGCAGTGATAAAACAATACTGGGAAGATAGGGGAGAGAAAAATGGGCCTGTAAAAAGGGCTGAGTCTTCACTGAGCAAACCAAGTAATGAAGATAAATAAAGAAATATTGTTATATGTATATTATGTCATTGTTACTGAGTTATTAGGGGAAATAAGATTAGATATTAGATGGTATTATGACATTATCGTCAGTTTTATTAAGTGTAATTATGGAATTGTGGTATTTAAATTTTTTTTAGGCAAGTTGAAGAATTCTGATCCAAATGGATCAGAAAAACACAGACAAAACAAGGCAAATATTAACAACTATTGAATCAAAGTTGATGGATAAATGGGTGTTCACTGCACTATCCTTTCAACTTTTTAATGTTTGAATATTTTCATCAATGACAAGAAAAATAAAATGATATGGTAGACAGAAGAAAATGTAGAGGTAAACCAAGAATACCTCAAGTAATAATAATCCTCAGAGATATGGACCATAAAAACCTCTTACAGTTTTCTGATGTCAAAAAAAGTTAACTTAAAGCCCCAAATCTACATGGAGAGGGACAGGTAAAGTATTCAGAGGTACTTTATAGGTACTTTATGGCTGACACCTATGAATAGTCATGACATCTACTGTAAAATATTGTAACTATGATGCCTATTGGTAAAAGTCTGTTCCTAAAAACTTGGGTGATCAGGTACATAGGTGTTTATTATTATTAGTCTTTAAACTCCAACTACATGTACTCTTTTGCATTATGATAGTCTTCATTAAAAACAAACAAAACACATACACACACACACACCCAGTCCCAAATTAGTTTTCTAAAGGATATGTTCTATGAAACAACGGGGACTATTATTCCTTTGAAGACACAGTTTAAGCACCATGTTCAGGGAAATTTTTTCCCCAAAGTTGGGTAAGAATTATATGTGGGATATATGATAATGATAAATGATAAAAAAAAAAAGTCTTAAAACAATCTTCTCACTTAAAAATTAGTACAACAGCAATTACTTAATATAAACTAGATTCCAGTGATACAAAGTCACCAAATGAAAACTGTATTTTTAATGCTAAGAAGTAATAAATTTGAATCATACTACTATAGTTTACATGTCCCTCCAAAACTCACACTGAAACTTAATTGAAAATTAACCCCCAATGTGGCATTACTGAGAGGTGGGGCCTTTGGAGAGGTGATTGAATTGTGAGGGATCTGCGATTTACGGATTAATAGGTTAATGAATAAATATTAATTAGGTCAACACCAGAGTAGCACTGGTGGCTTTGTAAGAAGAGCAAGGAAGCAAATGAGCACATTATCATGCTCTTGCCGTCCCCTCATCATGTGATACCCTGCATTGTCATGATGCAGCCCCTGGACCTTGAACTTCCTAGCCTCCAAAACCGCAAAAATTAAATTTCTTTTCTTTATAATTATCCCACGTTCAGGTATTCTGTTATAAGTGACAAAAGACTAAGACAACATACCATCTTCTTCATCCTCAGCCTCTTCTGCTTCCATTGGATCATACTCATCTTGATTATTATCTTCTTCTGTTTCATCATCATCTTTAGAATCATCTTTCCTTTTATCTTCTTTCTGTAACTTAAAATGCATTAAAATTAAACAAGATATCTCACCAAAAGTTAAATGACTATAACCAGAAAACATTAAATTCATTACATTTACTTGGAATAGTTTCACATTATAAATTTCTTATAACAATACACATGAAGAATAAACTATCAGAAAAGTAACTGTAGATGTTCATATGTGCTTAATTCAAAGATTTAAGTTTCTGATAATACATTAAAATCTTTCAGTTTGGACTTTACTTTTACTCTTCTTTTTTTTTTTTTTGTCTTTTTTCGTGTCCGGCAACGGATCGCAACCCTCAGTGTCGCGCCCGGACCGGGACCGGCAACAGGATCGCAACCCTCGGTGTTGCTCCCACACCTCACTCAGCCAGTGAGCGGGAACCGGTCTGTATGTGGGATCCGAACCCTCGGCGGGAGCGCCACCGCGCTTCCCAAGCGGTGCACTGTAGCGGTGCGCCACCGGGCCGGCCCCTACTTTTACTCTTCTGATGGAAATCAACATCATTTGTTACAATCTAGAAACCTGTAACTGAAAACTTCTTTTTTCAGTGGCTGGCCAGTACAGAGATCCGAAACGTTGACCTTGGTGTTATCAGCACCACCCTCCCTCAAGTGAGCCATCAGCCAGCCCTGAAATTTTTTCTTTTTTCTTTTTCTTAAAAGATGACCGGTAAGGGGATCTTAACCCTTGACTTGGTGTTGTCAGCACCACGCTCTCCCAAGTGAGCGAACCGGCCATCCCTATATGGGATCCAAACCCATGGCCTTGGTGTTATCAGCACCGCACTCTCCCGAGTGAGCCACGGGCCGGCCCAGCCCTGAAAATTTCTAAGTCAGGTTGCTGGTCACGAAAATAATTACAGACCTTCCTTTCATCTCTGTCTTCCTTTTTATCTTTATCATCTCCTGACTTTCTCCTTTTGGGTTTTGGCTCATCGGTTTCATCATCTCTTTCTTCTTTTTTATCTTTTCTCTCATCTTTTTTGCTTTTCTTATCTTTTTCTTTTTTGTCCTCTTTCTCAGGAAGAGATAGTAATGACTTGTATATTCTGACACCAAAATCTCTTTGAAGCATTTCATTGAAAAGTTCGGCAAACAATGAAACCTATAAAAAGATTGCAAGATGATTAATCCACCCAACTTTAAGAGAAATACTGAATAAATCTAGCAGTCAGTAATTTATCAAATAAAAACTTGCCACATATAACAATTATATGTACTTATAATACAGTTATAATAATTGATGTAAATGATGTTGAAGAGCCTCAAAATCCTCAAAAGGATGTTCTGAAGATATAAATATTATGTTTATTATAGTTTTGGTAAAATATATAAAAAATAATAACCCTACTATAGAAAACTAGAAAGTAAGTAGAATTTCTACCATCCTAACAAAACTTAATTTTCAGGATAAATGCACTCTATTCCTTTACTCAACAAGTGTTTAATCAAATGCCTACTATGTACCAGACTATTCCAGGTAATGAGGATACAGCAGTGAACAAAGCAGATAAAAACTCCTCCTCTCATGCAGCTAACATTCTAGTGGGGAGAAGTAAGGAACAATCAAATCAACATCAAATTACAAGAAAAATAAGCAGGATAAACACATAGATTGTAATAAGAGAGACTAGTCACACAAGGCCTCTTTGATCAAATGACATTTGAAAAGTTAACAGAAGGTGGTGAGGAAATAGGCCATATAGATATCTGGGAGAAGAGCATTCTAGGCAGAGGAAACAATTAAAAACCCTGAGTAGGGAGCATGCAACATTATTATGGAGGGATCCATGAATTATGGGATATGGTGTACTCATGAACCTAAAATTATATACTAAATTTTCTGTGTACATATTTCTAAGGCTAAGATCCATAACTGTCAATGGATTTTTAAAAGGATCTAGAACTTGAAATGGTTGACCACAGCTCTAAAATGTGTAATCTTTGGCAATTTGTTCAGTATATTTGGTAGAACACTTTAATCAACCTATTTTCTTGATCATAAAAGATAATGCAATTTATTACAAGTACAATTGACTTTATAATCTATTTTTCTTTGGTTCATGCCCAATCTTTACATATTTTTTTCAACGTGACTCAACTGAATCAATTTTTATATATTTTAAATAAAAGGAAATATATTATTAGTAAAATGATTATTAAACATGATGAAAATTCTGCATACTCTTAGTCATTAATGTAAACTACACAAAATCCCCATCTGTATAAGTAAATATCAAAAAGCATATTTTTCCTATAGTTTTCTATTTTCCATTACCTAGAGATAGAAACTAATAATTAAAATGTATTAGATCAAAAGCCTAGAACTGTAACTAGAAGAGCAGAATTAATTCTGCATACCTTTTCACCCACAAGCACTAACTGAAAGATGAAGATATACCTAGCATTAATATTAAATTAGCCAAAGATCTATAATTAAATTTCATGATAATGTATTATTCATTTAGTTACAGAATGACTTCTGTATTCTACAGGGTAGGCATTATCAGGAGTTATTTAAATTTCTGACAACTGCTAATAAAATAAGGTAAAAATCATACATCTAATGTTTAAGGATACTTGCTTACTATGATTATTAATATATCAAAAATTGAAAATATTTTAATATTTGTAACATATTTTAATATCAAGACCAGTAAGCATGCACTTTGTTTTATAACTGCTTCAGTTATCCTCTATATTTATTTGCAAAGGTCTCTGTCTAAATACTTTCCTTCATTTTGATCTTACCATTTGGTGGACAATGACCTCTTAAGTCAAAGAAGCATGACTGATTTTTCCGATATAATTTGTAAAATAAAATATGTTGATATGATGCAATAATTAAACACAGTAGTAATTTTAAATATATTATGATTTTGTACAGAGTACTTAAAAATACTATTTTGGGATATTTTATTTTATTTAAAAAATGAAGCAATTTCTCACTTAGGGATAAAAGTCATCGACTGTTTTGAAAACTGACATAACTACATGTTATAAAGCTGCTCTAAAATAATGGTTTGGTGAAGGGTTCATATCCCCATTCCAGCTAGCCTCCCCTGCCAAAGGTATTTTAATTCTAGAGAAAAGAAGAAAGCATTACCTCAGCCCCAAGAGAGAGAATTAGACATTATATATCTCCTGATATCCTGAGAAAGGAACACACCACTACTTAGGAAAATAGTCTTAGGAGAAAAAAAACAAAAACAAAAACTGAACCTAATGAAGAATTTAGATCCAACTACTAATTTATAGAAAGTACAGAAGACAGAAGAATGAACACATAAACCATACCACAGAAATGCAATACAATCAGATAAAATTAGTCAGTGGGAAACTTCAAAAGACATATCATTTGTTTTTTTCTCCCAACAAGTAAACTGCAAAGGCAGTGGGGGGGGGGGGGGGGGGGAAGGGGG